CATTTCTTTTTCCTGTTGTTGTAGTTCTTGTACTGGTGTCCAGAGGACACGCAGCTGGAATACACGTCCTCTGGAGCCTTGCATTTACTTGCCTTGTGGCTGTACCTCTGGCACTTGTAGCATCTGGTTGGTCTCGGTTCGTAGGGCTTCACTAGGATGGTGTCCTATCCCAGTAGTACTTCAAATGGTAGTTTCTTAGGATAGATGACAAGGACCGCTCGACTGGTCAGCTTCCTCACGATGTGGACCTGGTCACCAATCAGTTAGGACAGCTCGTCTTCTAGGTGTTCGATTTGGGTGTGGGAGATTACTCCCAACACCAAGTTATCTTCTACAAGGGTTTCAACCTGTATCTTAAAGCCGTTGATTTCAGTGACATGCATTACATGCAGGGCCTGTCCCCATTCCGTGACGGTGATCATAAGGTGCTTGCCTAGGCCACCGCACCTTGTGGTTGAGGAAGGGAATAGTCGGTCTAGGTTAGTAGCCATGACTGTGTCTGGTACCTCAATGTAGCTCCAAAACGGCACAGATGCTTGCCAACTTAATTATACTACAATCGGGCAAGGGGGGACCTAACTGAGGTGTAAAAACATTTCAAAAGGTACTACTCAATTGAGTGTCTATATCTGGAGCTGGCGGATGCCTGCCCCAAGAGGGGTCGCAGATCAAGGTTGAAGAAGCCACAAGTCCAGAAAACTGTGTGGACGAACTCTTTCGGAGTGAGAGTTGTGAACTCTTGGAACAACTTGCCAGAGAGTGTTATGACCAGAGTTGACCAACTCTGGAGCAGGTTCAGATACATTCAGGAACCAGTGCATGCCCAGTACAGGTACTTGCCAACAATGCATAACAGAGACGTGACCGATCGCCCAAGCAGCTAATGGGCTGATCAGTGATGAAAAAGATTAAAAGTAAAAAGTAAAAGTAAGAACGTATGGAGAACGGATTGGGTAAACTAAAAATAATGTTAATTGTAGAAAACAAAACGAAAAACAATCATAGAAACGATTATTTTTTTCACAAGTAACCATTTTGGTCATAGCTCGAGCCACTAAATTTACTAAAATGCAAGTGAGAAGGATGATGAAGGTCCAGTGGAAGGATAAAGAGTGGATGGAAGGGAATTGTAGGAGTAGAAAAAGGTGCTGTGGTTTAACACCGCTTGCCCGATGGTGATAGGATTATCCTAGGATAGTCAACTTCAGTAGCCCGGCAGTGGCAGCAGAGGAAGGGGCGAAAGGATTGGGTTTCCTTTGTAAGACCGATACCACCAAGAAAGCAGTCCAAGCCCATAAAACCACCAGTGTACTGACAAAAGTCATACATGTTAGTAAATGTAAACTCAGACAATTCATATCATACTTAAAAGCCCATAAAACATGTAGCTCTAACTTATTTCTTGAGACGTCCATTTTCTCTTATCGTCCGTTTCAGAATCTTTAATATCCCGTGTCTATGTTTGTGTATTTAAAATTACGAGTGAATGCATATGTGTTACTGTAAGATATACTGTATATACCTGCTGATCACTCAAACATTCGAGATCCATTGAGAATGATGAGGAAAGCTTCAACTATGTTTACTTTTAGTGGGATGTTGAGCCTTGGCCCGGACTCACGTGAGAAAGGTGTTATCCAGTGTCACCCTACCAAACACCACAGGTTTCCCGGCCCCCAGTTTCCTCCTGTACTAACACTGGATAAACCGCCCAAACAGCTAGTAAGTTGATAAGTGACGAATATGATAAAATAAAATAAAAATAAATAAATAAGTCGAGTGTTAGAGTTTGCAATAGAGGTGGGAAAGGTGAAGGTAAAGCCTTTGAACCAATTCCACCCCCTTTGCTGTGTAGAATGACTATCAGTGACCCTGCGACCTTGGTACAACACCTGCAATTTTAAATTACAGTACTTTGTAGTGCTTTTTTGGGGGGGGGGGGAGTTAGCAGACAAAACTTATACCCATGTGGACCCATTATGCATTCTTATGTTCCAGTCAAAAGTATACAAAAAAGTAAACAATGCAGACAACACACTTAATGCACAGTGATGACAGTTTCACCATCCCATCATTAAGGGGACCAACTAAAATAGATGCCAATGGCCGCCAACTGTGCCCTGCTCAACTCTTCAAGAATAACTTACTTATTAGATATGCCTTGGTTCAACCTGTCAAATGTGTAAAAATAGTACTTAAGTACCCATGACTATGTCATATGAAGGAAAGACAAGAGAAATTACAACCATCTGAAATTCCATTGTTTTCCCAAAGATAAAAAAAAGGCAAGTTAGTAGTAACATGAAAGTGTTTTGTGGAAATTAAGTTATACAGTATAACCACATCCAGTGCTGGGTTAATATTCATTTTGGCAAATGACCATGAAATGAAGGTTTGAACCCCACAATATAAACACAGTGAAATACCAGAAAAACCAGCTTTCATGTCAAATTCCATGTTATATTCTAAAACGAATAATTACCAAATGCTCTACAGTACTTGGATAGTTACTCAAAACTACTTTCTGATTGTATTACAGTATATATACATTAATGTTAATTATCGAAAAATTTTGACAGGTGCTTGGAATAGCTACACACATCTGAAAGATGAAATATTGAAATAACTCAATACATCTAATGTGTTATGTAGCATCCTTTGCTCCCGAGTGGCAAACTGTGGCAAAGGAGTATGACAATCAGCAGTTAATGCCTAGGCAGAAGGCAGAAGAACTGCTCTACCCATCTACCTCCACTGAAGGTTGACATACCTGTTTGTCGGACCTGGGATAAGGTCGGGACAGTGGTAGGTGTTGGTTGCCACAGGGACTATCACATAAGGCTTCCGAGCGATCGCTTGTTTTGGCGTAACTGCTGATTCCTGCATCATCACCATGTGCCATCCCCTACACCAACACTTACTGCAGCACACATCGGCGCTGCTGTTGGTGATCCCATAGTGCCCGTATCATCAGCCTCGGAGTGAGCTAGACAAGCAGAATACCACATCAGTTTCTCCCTGCCTCCTGTTTCATTTCCCAGGAGAAGTAAACGCCACCACAGATGCCCTCACTGACTGGATATACAAGTCCTCAATTCTACCTTGGACTCATCCAGGAGGGGGGAGATGGAGAGTGTTTAGTTAGCGAGGTGTATATGTATAAAGCCTAAATGTTTTACCAGTTATGTAGGTCCATATGCTTATATGTATATTCCATGTATGTGCTGCTACCATTACTTTGTATTATTATATTGCCCAACACCTGGCAAACTACCATGCCACCCAAACTACTGGCAGGGTAGCAAACCATATCAACATGGGTAGATTTGGCAGCTCACCTGGCAGTCTTACCAGTCTGTCCATACAGAGCACATGACTGTCTTGTGCTCTTGCCTCTGTACTGATACTCCTTCAGTAAACTCCAGTGAACTAATTATCTTATTACTCATCAACTCCTATCAACAGTTTCCTTATATTCCTGAAGGCATGGTGTAACAGCACCATTTGTATTATATAAATATTCACCCAAATGTATAATACTTAAATGTATAATACCCAATTATTCAAAAATGACTCGGTAGTTATTCACTAAGTTATTCAACAATGACTCAGTAATTATTCACTAAGTTATTCAACCATGACTCAGTAGTTGTTTATGTCATACATGCTGAGGTCTGTAACTTCATCAGAGGTTGAGCCAGGTCAAGCTGATTTTGCAAATACCTCACCCACTCCTTGCATCTCACGCCTGAGCAGGGAGAGCAGGCAGACTCATATCACTTGTTACCCAGTGAACTCCGCACTTAAGTGTTCTCCTATAAGTGCACTAAGACACTTCCCTTAGCAGAGAAGGTACAATATACTCTCAACTGAACCCAGTACCTGTGAAACTATATTTTTCTACAATAAAGAAAAACCAACAAAGTGTTTACTTTAGCCCTGCCACTTATTAATTCCAGAACTAATATATATATTTGTGTGTGCTATATACCTATAAAAAGGACCAACACAACTGGGTTTGGTCTTGGGTACATATTTATTGATCAAATGGTTCACTTTAATGGCTATGATATTCAGCTTAGTGTCTGCATTCTTATATTTTAGTGTCAGGCCAGTGAATACCTCTCATCTCCTCCCTTATCCCACTGTAATTACCCTTGTAATATTTGAATCTTGGCCTGGTTTTGTCATGAACATTTCATTTATTTGTTTCAGGTTAAACCAACCATCACAGTCATAACATGTCATATGATGAAGAAACCAAGGAATAGATGGGAAAAACAGAAAGCAAGAAGGGAAGATTAGGAAATTTACATTGTTTTTTCTGGTGCAGTAGAGCATGAAATATTGGAAAACCAAATACAGTAAATAAGTAATGATCTTTGAACAAACATAATAATAGGCCCATTAGAATCAGTATGCCCTAGCCCAGTGGTTCCCAACCTTTTTGGGCTGCGACCCTAAATTTCCCAACAATACGGTGTCGTGACCCTCAGGCATATAATATGTTATATACTGTAGCTTGAATGTTAAGCAAAAATTTGTTTGACTATGATAAGTACTATATTTTTTAAATTGTCTGAGGGCCCCTCGCGACCCTACTGAGGACACCCCGTAATCCTGATTTGGGTCGCAACCTGAGGTTGGGAACCGCTGCCCTAGGCCCTTCAGGCCTTTAATCTGGCCCAACCTGAGAAGTCTGACAAAGGTGAAAATAGGAAATACATGATATGGTTAGTTTTCAGAACTTTTGTGAAGGTCTGAACTTTGGCTATGGCTGGTAACATAAGCCTCCTTTCTCTACTGAAACCTATCTTCATTTATGCTGATATTACTGATAAAATTATTTTCTAGAAACACATCCCCTGGAATTATAGACGGCAACCTGTAGTTCTTCTAACACCTTGCCTCAAAGAACTGATAAGGATATTACTTACAATATAGTAACATAGTTTCTTATTGAAAGCATTAACTACACAATTTTGTTTTCAAAAACAATACTTGTTAAAAAAAATTTATTGTAAAAGAAACTATTGCTATACATATACATATATATATATAATGAATATTGATCTAAGTATATACATAGAAAGCTTTTAACACTTAAATAATTAGTATCTGAGGGATCTCAATGTTATTTGTACAGAAAATTGCAAAACAATTAGGGAAGCTGTAAAATTATCATGACTACAATTGGCTCAGGGAATAAATATTATTGGAGTTCTTTACAATATCTCTTATTAAAGTTAATAAAGAGATGTTAAATATAAATAGGGTTAAAATTCATGTATAAATCAATTGCAAAAGACAAAAGGATAACATGAGATGAATTATGGGTTATGACATAGGCAGGAAGAAGTTACTATGGAAAATCTATCTTTCCACTCTGAGTATAAATCTGTATCCTTGCTGGTTTACAGTTTAATGTAATATCTCTGAGATGTATTTGGCAAATTTTTTTTTATGACATTTAATAACTGATTAGTGAAGGATTACAGTAGAGTACAAAATCCCATTTTATGGCCATGGGCAAAGGTTAATGTCCTGTGAATTATCAGCACACTGACCATCCAATAAAAGAGCCTGCTTACACCTTAAGGTACAACTGGTCAGTAGGCAGCTGGGAATAATGTAGTTGTCACAAGAAAAATTTATATCAGTCACACTAGGAGTATTTTGAGGTATCCAGTCAGGAATTAAAATCATTAATATACTGAACTACCTGAGATACAAAGGGAATTTCAGAACTCCAGCCCTCAGGCCTGGTTGATCCAAAATTTAACCCATAAGATAGAAGGAATCCAGGTCACTCAGCTTGGTCTTTGGCCATTAAATGAGATTTCATTCTTCAATTCTTTATTTAGGGCCACAATGATCCTTCAATGTCTTGAGACTTAAAATCCAGTAAATAATGTAAAGTGGAGCTCATGCATCAACAGCATTACTGAATGAACCCCTTGTCATATCTTGTAAATTATGAGGGCTAAACTTAGATAATCCCTAAAGTCACAGGGAAATTTCAAACTCAGGTCCATGCACCTTATTCCAATATGGATTTGAGAGATTCTCCTCAAAAAGGGCACATTAGAGGTGGTAATGATATGATATGGCCTCATAGCTTGTAGAGGCCTATCTGGATTTTCCCAGGCTTGAGTTTGTCTCAATAGCCATCCCCACCTTCTTATCTCATTGTGTATACAGTAATTATTTTCTCAATTCAGAATATAATATGAAGTGAAATAAAATTAATATTGTAATGCATTATCATATACTTTAAAAAATTCAAAGGTTACCAAACATCACCAGACATTACAAATTTACATATACCTGTACATTAAACAAAACACACTGACGAGAGCTTAATTCCTGACTGGGATAGGTCACTTGCTATAAATTCAACAACCATGCTACTGAATTACTTAAAAGACTCCTGGTATGATGACTGGATGAAGAGCAGCTTTTCCATTATTCACAGCAAAATGCAACCTTCAACTGAACAATGATACTAGTGGACTCTTGTCCTTGGGTGTTAAGTGTGCTGGTTATTCACAGGTCACTCATTAAAGGACCATAGGCCATAAATAAAAAATAACTTGAGCACACTCAAAAAGCACCAAGTTCAACATATTACAATATTAACAATTTGAGCTGATACATACTCATTAGTCAATGTAATATCATAGTTGCTGAAAACACATTATCAACATAATTTGAAAGCAACTGTAATCAATAACTAATATATTGCTTTTAACCACAAAATTTCTCATAAAAACAAATAATTCTTGTGGTGAACGGTACACACAAATGTTGACGCATTCAGAATCACTGAATATTTTCTGTAGTTAATTATCATCTCACTATTCCAGGATAGTAATGAAAACTTGAATCTAGATTTAGAATATGGCTTTACAGGTACAGTAATTAACTTTACTGAATGTTCTCTTTCCACTATAAATTGTCACAAAGACCGGTAACATTACAGAGATCTTCAATATTAAGTGATTAAGTGAAAGCTATAAATCTTGTGTATCCTGTGTTAGTCTTTATGAACAATTTCAAAGTTCAGTAGTAGTTTGCACAGGTGATGGTTCTGTTAAACCTCGTCGGCCAAACATAACATTTTCATTGGTGGCACTGACACTCAAGGGTCCTTCACCACCATCTTCATCATCAGCAAAATGTTCATAGGCAGGGTTTCTGCCAGATGGAGTGGGGGCAGCGATTGCAGATATATGTTGGAGGTGGCGTTGACCTGGAGGAGTATCCCAATCTATTCCTACAGTTTTGTCATGCTGATGATATTGATGTGACATTCCTGGGATGCTCTTATCACTATCAATGACACCTTCTACTTCCCTACTGCTGCTAGTGCTGCCATCCTCACTCACTGTAAGTAATGTTTAAGATTAAAGGGAACTCAAGAGGTTTTAATTGCTTACCAATTGCAAATTTCATGACAAAAACGAATAACAATCTTGCAATTAATATTTCATGAATTAGAAAAAATATTCATTTGGTCCACTTTGAAAATTGAACCTACATTGTTGTTTGGTGATATAAGATACATTATCCATGGAGAAATGATGAGAGGGTCTGGAGTCAAAGGTTAGCTCCTGCACTGACTCATCATCCATAGGAACACTCATGTGCAGTACCTGAATGAAAATAAATAAAATTCGCATTACCAATATGAAAAATAAATCCAAAATATAACAATCCAATGTTTTACTCATCAACTTAAAAACATACCTGATACATACTCGTAGGTGCCTAGATAAAATGGCAGAGGTGTCATATCAGATAATACTCAATAAATGATTGTAGATCATCATTCCATATAGTGGAATCATTTCCAATGTGTTAACATGAATGAATCTGACAATGCTTTAAAAATATGCACAGTGAACTGATACAAGGTGATGTAATCAAAACTGAGTTTAAAGAACTACATGTACTTAAATATTGTGTATGCAAGTTGAGAAAATATGAGAGAAGCATTTTTTCTTAGTTTAGCCCTCTCCTGGTACTTTCTACAAATTTCTTGCATAACTTTCTCCAACCATATCCTTTTCATTGTGGTCATTTTGTGGAGATTAAAGTGACTATGAACTCTAAAATGACTGGGAAACGTGAAACTAAGTCTCCTGCAATCCCAAGCAAACCATGCAACCTCTGGATGTTAAACTGGACATTCCATCTTAAGAGTGTTTGGTCTAGCCCGGTTAACTGTCTCAACCACAGGAGAGAGTGTAACTGCAAGTACAGTAAAAAAAAAAAAAAAGTACCGGACAACTGAGTAACGACTCGTCCAAGTAACGAGATGAATCTTGGGCAATATTATTAAAAAAGTGACAAACTATTTTGCGTAACTTAGAGGTCACAACAATACAGAATAGCAAAGGATTGGAACCTATTCCCTTTTACTCATAGTTAAATAAACCTATAATTTGACCTTAGCTTTTGAGAAATACTTGGCATAATCTTCGAGATGATTTGTAGCAAGACAACACCAACGTGTCTTGGCTGTGACCATCACCACAACAGCTCTGTTAACACCTCTAAAACCAAATTCGTGCTAGTTACTAACTCCTATGAGGAGTAAGATAAAATAACATATACAGTGGTCCCTCGGTTAATGAACACAATTCATTCCACAGTCGTTCGTTAACCGAATCCATTGTTGAATGGGATATTGGGTAATTGGTTCCAGCTGACAGAAAAGTACATAGAAAGTAAAAAAAAAAAAATGCAGTAAAGTACACTTACTTTGAGGTATGAATGTAGAAGGTTCCTGGTTGATGATGATGATGGGAATTAGAAGTGGGGGTGGAGGAGAAGGAAGAAGAGAAGGAAGTGGGGATGGAGGAGAAATCACCTTTCAGGGGACCCACTCTTGATGCAATAATTTCATCAATAAAATTTTAAGTTCACTAGGTGTAATTCAAGATTATTTTCTTTAAATCAACACTACACTGCGCCATATATTATCAATATGTTAACGAAATTTCAGAATGACCAATAATTTTAATGTAAAAATGCAAAAATATTCAAGACACCAGCAAAATCGATATTCACTCCACTGTAAATAAAGCTAAACTGACGCCTGGTGAGTGAGTCAAGCGCACAAAAAACTAGTTCCCTGTACTGCATATATTATCAATATGTTAACTAAATTTTAAAATTACTAATAATTTTAATATAAAAAATGCACAAATATTAAAGAGCACAACTTTCTTGATATTTACTCCACTGAATTGGCAGACTAGCCCATCAGCTGATCAGCTGATGCTCACAACAAAACATGTTTTGTTCGTTAACTGAATTGAAGATCCTTATGGGAGGTAATTCGTTAACCGAAATTTTGTTAATCGAACCATTCGTTAACTGAGGGACGACTGTACCAGTAAATGTGAGGAATAAATATAAATAATATCAATAAATAAATACTGTTAGTACAGTACAGTATTGACATTTGGCTGCTGGATGATGAAATTTGTCAATCATTTCATTACACATGGGGTTTTTACTGTACTGCCACAAGGCTCCTTGAGTTGCGGACAGAACACCAGACTCACCACTGCAAGCCTCTCTCTATGATTGCTTAGAACATAAGAACATAAGAATGGAGGAAACTGCAGCGGGCCTATTGGCCCATACTGGGCAGTCCCGTTTACACCCAACCCCTATTGCTCATATAAGCATCCAACCTATGTTTGAAGCTATTCAGCGTATTCGAGTTAATGATGATATTTGGTAACTTGTTCCATTCATCCACTAATCTGTTTCCAAACCAGTGTTTACCTATTTCACGCCTAAATCTAAATTTGTCTAATTTAAAACCATTGTTACGAGTTCGCTCCTGGTTGGATAGTTTGAGTACCTTTGTAATGTCCCCTTTATTTAGCCCTGACTTCCACTTATACACCTCTATCAGGTCGCCCCTCGCTCTACGTCTCTCGAGGGAGTGCAAATTAAGATGCTTTAAACTGTCTCTATACTCAAGGTTCCTAATGCCCGGGATTAGTCTTGTCATTCTCCTCTGAATTCTTTCCAATGATTCTATACTGAAGCAAGTTGTATATTTTCTTACTTTAGATTATTTATTTAAATACCGGGACTGTATATAATAAAGCTGCAATATAAAATGTGAGATCAAGTAATGTATATATGAGAACCCATTTTCAGAGCACATCCATACATCAGATTGTCATGTAATGAAAATTTGTAGTTATGCATTGTGTTTCAATGCTCCCTGGCATTCCTATAACAGTATGAATAAAGCAATAAATCACATATTCCCATCTTGGCTGAATTTATATATGGTGACACAAATGAAACAACCACTATCACTCATATTCAACTCTTACCTGAACTTCATATTCTTTAGTAACAGGTTCAATGACTGACCCGACTCTTTCATATGGTGGTGCAACAACCACGACTGCTTTGCTGGCTTCATCACGATGTCGTATATACCTGAAAAGAAATTTAAGCTATACAGATGTTCTACAAGGCATCCCGCATTCATATTATGATACAGGTTGTACCTCTCTAGTCCGGCAACCACGGGACCTGACCAGTGCCGGACCATGTAAATTTCCGGACCATGGAAATTCACCCTTTTCCTGGACAGATAGTGACTTGCGCTTAAGTTTGCACCACTTTCACTGCTTCGTGGTCTCTTTGAAGACATATTGAAGGGTTAAATGTTGTACAGTAGGTTCTTAAATTTAGCGAGTTTTTAATTCAACGTTTTTTATTTGGACACACAAAAAAAACCACTGCACAATTTAAAATTTTGACGGCGAAAACTCGAATTTCGACGGGTTTGAGAGGCCCGCCAACGTTCGGACATGCACAATTGTGTAAACAGCGTCATTTTTTATTGAATTAATGTTTATGTGTGCAAAATGAACAATACAATTCATTAATAATACGTAGAATATTAAAACACACGAGGAGACGAGACAGCATTGTTTTCATTGTTTACAAAACCAGTGACTGACTGGTTCTACATATAAAACTGAAGAAAATAAGACCCTGGTTGTAGCTGTAGTAAAATTAATATGGTTGTTTTAAGTAATTTATTTAATGTTAATATATGGAACAATGGAAGTAGCTAACCAATAATGGTAAAAAAAAAAAGAGAGATCGTGTATGTAAGTGCGCACATGTGAAAACATATCGTCATTACATAAGAATATGAAAGCAACACTTATTTACTGTTCATATATGTTTTAATTAATGTTTCTTTATTTTTTTATTGAATTACTGTTTATGTGTGCAATATTAAAACACATGATGAGACGAGACAGTATTGTTTTCGTTAATGTTTACAAAGCCAGTGACTGATTGGTTCTACATATAAAACTGATGAAAATAAGACCCTGGTTGTAGCTGTAGTAAACTTAATATGGTTGTTTCAAGCAATGTTATTTAATGTTAATAAATGGAACAATGGAAGTAGCTAACCATTAATGGTAAAAAAAAAGTGAGATCACGTATTTAAGTGAGCACATGTGTAAACATATCGTCATTACTCTACATAAGAATATGAAAGCAGCACTTATTTACTGTTCATATATATTTTAATTGATGTTTCTGAATTTAAAAAATAATTCTACCCACTAGTGGTGGTAAAGTTGAAAACATAAAGACAGCCAATGTTGTTGTGTGTGTTTTTACTCGGATGACAAAGTTGCCAAGCCATCAGGTTCAACTCTAGCTAAAGCTGTAGAACATAAGAACATTTCTGTGTTGTTTTTAGTTTTTATTTAACTTTGTGTTATTTTCGTTGGTTTATTAGGGCGCTGCTTTATTACAGGTAGTAATTCGCCAAAAAAGTAGGGTAAATATGGCCAAATTTAGCCAAACATCGAAAGTACAGTACCAGACTCAAATTAATTTTCTCCATGGGCAAACTAAAATCATTCCGGACCATGGGAGTTTCCGGACCACAGAATGTCGGACTAGAGAGGTACAACTGTACTTTCCATTTTCAGCAATGTTAAACTATTAAAATCCTTCTCTTGTTTAGATGTAAAACTATCAACTTTTTTACCTAAATCTCTTAAATGTTTTTTTATATTTAAATAAAAAAATTCTCAATCCATTGTGCCTTAATATGAATTACTGGATACTATAAATATGAACTGCTTAAAAAATTTAATGCATATTGTATTAATCCTATGTACCAAGATATACCATGAAATCTTGAACCATTTAACTAAAAATTTTGGTTACCAGCAACTGAAGGTCATTATAGAAAACCTAATATTTCACTAAGTACCAAATATACTGTAATACTGCACTCTTTGGAAATATAAGCAGAAGTATCTAAAGACAATTGAACTTTAGTGAGCAATATAAGACCATAAGTACATACAAAGTGATGAAAGCTTTGTATATTTACCTCTGCAGTCAGCTGAGTGTGCTACAACACCATCATTTGGCGGCTCATCAACAAACTTTATTACTTTAACTTTTTTTTTTTTTTCCTCTTCGCCACTGATCAGTTCATTTGCTGCTTGGGCGGTTGGTCGGTCATGTCTCTGTTATGCACAGTTGGTAAGTACTGAGCATGTACTGTATTGGCTCCTGAATGTATCTGAACCTGTGCCAGTGTTGGTCAAGTTTAGTCTTGAAGGAACTCACACTCAGTGCCATCACAAAACTCTCTGGCAGGTTATCCCAAGAGTTTACAATTCTCACTCAAGAAAAAAAAACATTGCTCTCACAATTTCCTGGACTTGTGGCTTCTTCAACCTTGAGCTGTGACCTCTAGTGGGGCAGGCGTCCACCAGCTCCAGGTGTGAACACTCAACTGAGATGTTTATAAACTTCAACTAAGTCACCCTTTGCCTGCTTATAGTATCAGCTAGGCAGTTGCAGGAGTTCTAACCTCTATGGGTAACTGATGTGCAGTAACACAGGCATCAGTCTGGTAGTCATCCTTTGGAAATTTCCATCAAATGACTGTCTCTAGCATATCTCGGGGACAAGACAGGACGACAGTACTCCAAACGGGGAAGCACCTTACTTTTGAAGAGCGTTACGAGATACAGACCATCTATATATCTTATCAACTTCCTTACAAGACCTACTAGAATAATCGCTTAATTCACCTTCTTCTCACAATGGCCTGAGAACTTCAGTTCATTTTCAACATAGACACCCAGGTCCTTTTCACATTCGGTCTCTGTTAATGCTGTTTCTTTGTCCTGTTGGAATATGTGATATGCCACCTTACCATTGGTATGGCCTAGGTACATTTTACACATCATGACAATGAATCTTAGCAGCCATTTCTTTGACCACTCTTGAAGCTGGCAGAGATCTTTCTGTAGCTCTTCACAGTCTGTTTGGTTCTTAATTTTCCTGAGTAATGTGGCATCATCCACAAACGTTTGTATGGAGGAGTGCATGGCTTTTGGCATGTCATTTATGTAACAAACAAACAACAGGCTCAGTACACTGCCCTGTGATACCCAACTTGTCATGGGTACACATGGCGATTTCATGCCAATAATTCACACACACTGCCTTCAGTCATGAGGAAAGTCTCTGATCCATGCTAGGACACTTCCCCGAAACTTGTACCTTCCCGGTTTAATTTTCAGTCTTTCATGGAAAACGCTGTCAAAACTCCTGGCAAAATCCAGATATTATTGCCGATTTTGTAACCTTGTTCCAGAATTTGAATCCAAACATCCAGCACTTTGAGTAACTGTACAAAGCAGGAGCATTCCAGCATAAAACAGTGTTGGCAGTCCTTTACGAGGTTATTTTGTAGATATTCCATCATGGCATGTCTTAAAATGGTCTCTAGTACTTTACACACTATTCTGGTCAGGCTCACTGGTCTATAATTATTCAATGAGTGATGATCGCCCTATCTGAAGATAGGACTCACATACCGTAAGCCATTTTCGAATCACTGGGGATCTTTTGCTCATCTAGGCATTTACAGAACAGGATCATAAGGGGCTCAGCAAACTCAATGCACAATTCTCTTAGGACTTAGGGATGCACCATGTCCGGCCGCAAGCTCTTATTAACCTTTCGCTATGACAATTTATTTCTTATGGCCTTTTCTGAGAACACTATGTAGGTCAGCGCTGTGTTAAACTGTCTTTCCTTAAATGCAGGAAGACTGTTTGTGCACGTATTTTTATTTGGATTTTGCTTAACAGTAGAAAGCCTTTGGGTTTGATCTGACCTTATTTGCAATCCTGCTTGTCATTTGTTATAACCCTCCTCATGGATCATGCGTAACAGTCTCCTTGTTTTTCTGGAGCTAGTGGGGTTGGTCTTGGGTATATATTTATCAATCAAAGAGTCCACTCTAATGGCTATGATCTTAAGCATAGTGTCTGCATTCTTGTATCTCAATGAGTCAGGCCAGTGAATGCCATTCATCCCGTTGTAATCACCTTTGTAATAATTGAGCCTTGGCCTACTTTTATCATGAACATAAACATGCATAATAATGCAGCAATTAACCAATGGAAGAGAGAGGTGTGTGTGCGAGTGCATGAGTATGAATACTGTAGAAATCCCCAAAACATACATCACCACTCAGCTGTGAGATGGCTGTGCACATTGCCATTGTTGCATATAATGAAACTCTAAAAGTTTTGGAAACAGCATTTCAATACAGTACTGTACTCTAATATGACTTAGAAATAAAGAAAATATAATATCCTGTACTACTGTAAAACTATAAAACAAATAGCATGGGTTTGTATGTGTGGAGGCAGTGGGTTTTAACCCTCTAACTGCTCTTATCCCCAGTCAGGGACGGGCACTGCAGACTGCTCCTGTCCCCAATCGGGGATCACCCATGCATCACTTCCTGCCAAATTAGCTCATCAGTCAATGTTTATCAGTGATGGATTACACACATCCGTCAGCCTCTTGTGGCTGCTTAGCCACGCTGAGCACTCCTCCATGTAGCAAGTATCGACACAAGTATCATACTGCTGAGGAAGCAGCTGAAATACTACGTACTGAACATGAGTGATAGTGAAGAAGAAAAGGAAATTGCAAATATCACAAATCAATTTGATGAATTTGAACAATTTGAGGCTTTGGTAGAGAGTGATAGTGGGAGAGAGAGTGGGGTGGAGGATACTGGAGCCCTGATTCAAGGAACTCCTGTGATTGTGGTCTGATGTTCATGATTTCATACATGTCCTGACACCTCCACTCAACACCCCACCACTACTGCGACCCTCCCTCCCAGCCCCCAACCCCATGCTCACTCAACTTCAGTCCTCTGTGGCACGTTAGTCAAAGTGAGTACTGTACAGTACAGGAAAGCCTCGAATAATGATGGTTCTACTACCAACGATTCGTATTTAAAACCCTGGTTAATTTAGGACTCAATTTAATTATTTTATTCATAATTACATTTTCATATAAAAAACAATTAAATCCCAATATGTATTATACAAATTATATACAGTCAACCCTCG